TTCTAGGCAGAGTCATGTGGTTATACGATGCAGAAGAAGAGTAGACAGAAACAGAAGGAAAATAGATAAAATAAATCATAATGGATCTAACATCTACATGTGCATATACGCATTTACACGTGCAAGTGCACTAATTTATATGCATATACAAATGTAAACGAAGGTATAAGTAAGAATACATTGATTAAAGAGATTTGCCTCTTTTCATGGGAGTCATTTATTTCTATAGTTTAAAGTCTAATGATCTTTACGCAACAAAGTGTGTTTGAAAGAGAAATGATAGTAGTATCGACGGTAATGATATGGTAAAGATTCATAAATAAAAAGATACATAAAATAAAATTCAAATATCAAACTTCTTGTTTGCTTGTTTTTCAATTTTTTCTTTTATCGGGCTTCAGTCGATCCCTCATCCCAGAGTTCTTAACCACTTTAATTTGTGAATGTATGTTTGTAAACCTCTCAAAAATGTGCAGACCACTACTTATGGGATTTATAAAATTCACTTTTTTTTTTTTTTTTTTTTTTTTTTTTTTTTTTAGGAAACTAAATAGAATAAAAAAAAACTACTTAGATGTCGTAGGAATTCATTGATGTTCAGTCACATTTTTTTTTTTTTTTTTCTTTAAGAAACTAAATAGAATAATAAAAAAAACTATTTAGATGTTGTAGGAATTCATTGATGTTCACTTTTTTTTTTTTTTTTATGGTATTATAATACTCTGGGATGAAGGCTTTACCATGCCAACACATAAAAAAAAAAAAAAAATCTTTTCTTTTTTCTTTTTTTTTACTTTTTTTTTTAAAGTAAAGTTTATCTATATGACCCCCTAAACCCCTCGTTTCCCACCCTCCCGCCTCCGGGGATGGCCCCTTTTTGCCTTCTTTATTTTCTTGTTGATATATTGATTTGATTCTGAGGTGACACTTTGATGGTGTCTTCGAAGTTGATATTCTTCACATTAAGAGGGCCAAATACATTTATGATTTTTTTTTTTCTCTCTCTCTCTCTCTGCCCAGTTATATGTTAAGGTTGTGGAAATTTACCCTGTAGTCTAGAACAACTTTCAAGCGCTGTGGGTTCATGAATTATAATGAAATATCAGAGTGAAAATAGTTGCATAGTATTTATCAATCACGACTCATATCAGTAGTATTCCCTGTGAGAGAGTTTCCACTAGCTTTATATTATTGTTTCAACAAATGTTCTGAATCATAGTCTTTTTAAAATCTAAAATGATACTTGTCATTTATAACTGTACATGAAGTTATCAGTGCTGTTGTTACTGTCTAGCAAAGTGACACTTGTGTGTAAGAAATATTTAGGTGAAAGGCAAGAAAACCATTTAAACACATTCAAACTTTGAGTGAAATAATTTTTTGTGGTTCTCTAAGAAGTAAAAGTCATTGCCTGATCACACAATTTAGGAATTTAGGAATCATTACTGATAGTTTGTCAATATGAACAGTGTGCCAAGTAGAGATTGAACATGAATCAACATGCGTCATCAAAAATTCTCCACATCAGTATGGTGATTGCTAGGGAGTTATAAAGGAAATAGTGAACACAGTGATTCATAGAATATTAAGTCTCATGATAGTTAACTAATGAGAATTAGGCTGTATTATAGGATTGCAATTGCATTCTTTATCACAGACAAGGTTTCCAGATTCAGGATTAGTACTAACGTTTAAGCCAGTACAGAATCACAAGATTACATGTTTTAAAAGATGTAATCTTGCTTCAGTTTTGCATGACATAGATACAGCTTTTCTCTTTTTATTAATAGCACTAGAAACATGTGATTAGTTGACATTCTAATTAACACTGGTCGACATGAAGTTACAAGACACACACATGGGTAACAGTTACAGCATGATCAGCTTCTGAATAAATAGTTTCAGAATAGTCACTTTTTATAGATATGTTCACTCACTTTTTCTTACGGCACTTTATTGCACAATTACCTAATGATATAGCAGACTTCACATTCTCTCCAACTCATGTTATTTTATGCTGGGATGATATGACTTTGTAAGGATATCACTTTACACAGGAGTTATTTGATATAATATGAATGTATTGTGAAGATGGTGAAAATCAGTTGTTTATTCAAATGAATGGATGCACTTAGAGGAGGAAAAATCATGTGAGAATACTGGGTGTATTTTGATAAGATACTCTGCTGAACTATTAGAAATATATTGAACTGCGAACTCTTCATTTAACTAACTAGTGTGGCTTTACATTGCTTGTAACATGATGCAAAAGTTTCTAAATAAGGAAATATTTGTAGGGTGACGTATAAAAAAAGGAAAGTGACTTAAGAGCAAAGAATATACCAAAACAAGAAACTAGAGAATAAAAAATGTAGTTTATAGTGTGATATCTTTAGGTTATTTTGTGTACATTTAATTCACAAATTTTTACATTCAACTTCTGTGAAGTTTCCACTTATGGTAATATTTTACCTAGGATTATACTGCTAGTTCAAGCCAT